AAAATAGTGCACATGTTTGTTTTAATTCTAAAGATTTTTGAAGAAGTAATGAACTCCAAAACTACTGTTCAATTGATATCAAACTTGAAGTAACATTTGGTATATAATTTTTATTTCACAGCAAACCATGCAAATAAGCCACCTTTCACAGTCCTGAGCCGTACTGCACAATGTTTAATTCACTTATCTATAAAAAGGTGATGGTATGATATGTTTAAGTGGTGATAATTTTTAGTAAGACGTTGTACTGGTATGTTTTTAGCCATTGGTGGCTAAAGTGACAAACTCTTCCGTAGCAAAATCTAAAATTGGAGACTGATGAAGGGTCAGCAAAAAGAAAAGTTCAGCACAGGTCATTCCTACCTTTTTCCTGGGTTGGTGCATACTACCAAACACTTGGTTAGATATATGATGTAATTCAGCATCATCCACTTCCCGTCTAGCATACTCCCCAGCACCACCAACACTATGCATGTCTAAACATATATCACTCATATTATAGGGAATACTGAAACATTATATAAAAAGATTATACATAGTGATGTACAGTGGAGTACCATCCCATTTGTACATATTTTGTTTTTATTAAATTTTTAGCAATGACTTAACATTCATGATACAGAATGAAGTTTCTGGTAAATTATAGAAGCTTAAAATATTGTAAAATTTGGTAGCCAGGAGTCAAGAAACAAGGAGCCCAGACAATTTGATATTTGGAACAGGTCAAAACTTTTTCTGCAGAATCCCTTTAAAAGGGAAACTGAGAGAAACAGTAATAATAGTACATGTAGAAACAATAGGCTCCCTTTATTTTGTGCCTACAATTCTTGGGATGATTGGCTTGGCTTGGCTTGGCTTGGCTAAGTGAAATGATGTCAGGTCCATGTCTTCCAAGTTAATATTTTTTTCACAAAATAAGTTCACCATTCATAAAGAAAAAAATAAACTTATTGTGGTTCTGTACAGATTTATTTTTGGAGCAATGATATTGTTTCTCCAAAAATATGGCAACAGACAACACAGACTTGACACGCGAGTTTTTCTTTACATACCATGAATTGCAATGCAACCTTTAGTACAGACTGATAGTGTAACGTTTTGGCTATTTTCATGTACTGGTACGTGTCTATAAATTCTTTTTTTTGATATTTTTGAACAAAATCTGCTACAAATCAAATTTTTTTAAATAAAATGAAAGGTGAGACTACTCTGATGCTCAAAGGTTAAGCTTTATAATTCCAAATGACCAAGCCAATGATTCCACTGACCTTCCATTCCTTCCACCCATACTGGCAGATGACTTGTTTCTTCTCAGATAGTTAGCAACACTGCCTTGCTGAACATTAAATGAGCCTGCACTCTTCACATACTCCATGGCATCTTTAATATTCAGATTGGTGTACACCTGTAGGATTTGGCTATCTTTGGCTTCAGGCTTTTCTCGCATCAATAAAGGCTGCAAATACTTCCTATCAATTTCTTCCCACCTAGGTAATAGAAATTCAAGTCATTAAAATCAATTTGCCGATGTTACAAGATAACTCACGTATGCAAGTAACCTCACATCACTGATGAGTGAATTTTTTAATGCTTGTCATACTCACTTATCTCTCCAGTAATTGTGTCCATGACTACCAATAACATCTTCTATACCAGCCATGGCATGATCTATCAACTAAATTGAACATAAAATCACAAGTTTAATTAATAAACTTTGTACATCATATTTTAATTTCCAAGATATTTTATAAGCTCACCACTCTAAATAGAACCCTGTTTTCCGTTATTGCTTCAGTGTTATTATTCGAGTTACCAAAATTACATGAATTTCTTTTGTAACAACAAACTGGTATGAATAAAAATGAAGTGAATGAGTTTAATAGAAATAATTCTCTATTAACTACTTTTGAAAATAAATTCAGCTAATATGCAAATCAGATTACAGATCATAGTTCTCAAAATTATTTCAGTCATTTTACAATTTTTAATCATAAGATTCAATGGAGAATTGCTCCCCTTACTTTTATCAAATATTCCCTTTTTGAAAATCAAAATCAGAAACCCCTGTGATAAAAATTGAATAATACCGTCAATAAAAATTGAAAAATACCGTCAATAAAAATTGAATAATACTACATTTAATAGTTTAAATTCTTTTAAAACATTTTCTCTATAATTCTTGTCTTCATTTATGGAATGAATACTCAGACTTTGTTTTATTTCCCTGATAGCTAAATACACTAATATTAAAACCTGGTGAATAAGCAAGAAATTGATTGTTTCCTTCATAAACCAATGACCCAGTAAATTTCTCCTTGCAGTACTACAAATACGACATAAATGCAAACATTTGTCTATTAAATTACACACCACATGTAAAGGAACACAACAAAGATAACACTAACCCTTGTAAATATCTTCTCACCCATAGAAGGCTTGTGCTTATGACTTTTTTTTACTTTCAATTTATCCACCAGTGGCTTGACAGTCATACCCTTGAATAAAAAAGCACAATACACAAAGAGAATGTATATGAAAAAATTTACAAGAGAAATAACACAAGTAATGCATGTCAGAGATATGGCTCATGCAATTTTCTCAATACATGACCAAAATCCAGTTCCAGAGTGGCAGAAATGCTTGATTTCAATGAATTTTTAAGCACTAAAAAGGCCACCATTCAACCATTTTAAAGCGGATCTCAAAATGATAGGATGTGCATATGTATCACAAGATGCATGTTTCAATGTAATACAGGTGAAGACATACACACACACTGGTCAAAACATAAGTCCCCATTTATGGACTTTATTTAACAGGAACTAATAACATACATTTAACCAGGTTGGCATTTTTGTTAGTCGATGCTGACGAGCAAATGCATAAGAAATAATTGATTTTAATAGTATATCTCTATCACAGAGATAAGACTCCTTTTTGACCCAAAATAAGAGACTTTGAGGCAGAATGGGGAGAATGGGTTACTATGGTCACTATCTCTGCATCATACTACATGAAAGCATTAACGGAAGAGTAACTAATACATGATCACATTTTAATCAGGACTTCTTTTTTTTGAAAATGAATTTGTCTAAATCTACACTATGCATTCCATTTCTTTAGGAGCAGGTGAGATTGCCAAAATTTGTATTTTTTTTTCTGTACTATGATACTACAATATTACTAACAAGAGATGACAGCACAATGTACACATGACAGCTCTGTATTATTTAAACAGGCAGCCTCTTGACTGAGATAGCTTAGCTGTTAGCAATGCACATTTCAGTTAAAGAACTGAAGATATCATTAGAAAAGGAATAAATCAGAGGAGGTACCTGAGGTACCTATATGTATAGTTTCAAAGCAATCGGACTTACTGTGTTCAACAAAAATATTCATCAAAATTAGAGAATTGAAGATATCAGCACGAAATGAACAAATCTGAGAGAGGTCTGTCTGGAGTACCTATATACTTAATATCAAAGCAATCAGACTTAATAAGAAGTCGAAAATATCACTTTTACCAAAAATGACAAAAATATTCATCAAAATTGGAGATTTAAAGATATCATCACGAAATGAACAAATCTAAGATAAGTCTGCCCAAGGTACATATACACCAAGTATCAAAGCATATGATGAGCTCTGCTTGACAAAGTAGACAGCGAAGCTAAAAATATATATGTATTACTTTGGCTGATGACAGCTTCAGAATATCGCTGTTTTATCGTGTGTGCATGTACAAATCATTATAGTACTACTATTGTTTGCCAAACACCAGTGTTATTTTTGAAGTCGTATCTCAACATCAAGCCTAGGAGAGTGAGGGCCCATTTCCTATTTGGTTTTAAATTAAAGGTAGTATTTAACACATCGCCTGCTAGAATTGGTGATGCGTTATTAAACTTGAAATTTTCATTCATAAGTTCGAAAAAATAACTATAATGCTGATGATGAATTAAAACATGCACTGTGACAATGAATATATCAAATTTATAGCATACCCCCCCGGTAGCACAAATTATTAATATACGGTAATTCCTATTCAATGTGACTCATAATGTGACCAATTCACATACTTTATTTGTGTTCAATCTCAAAACTATGCACATTTAAGGATAATTTAGCTTTTAGACCTGTGCATAGTGAACATTTTTACATTGCTATTTTATAGCTTCAAGAATTTCAAATATGCAAATAGTATATGATGTTGCAGTACTTGAATGACCGGATAGATAGATCAAGTCAGCCAGCTTGAGTAGACTTTACAAATCAAAGTGACAGGTATCAACCTTCATTTTTTTTACAACTGAAAGTAAGCAGTTGGCCATATTTAATCAGATGATAACATTATTGTATGTGTGCCATGATAGACAATCTAAAGGTTTGAAGCAAATAGAATGTCTGGAATAGAATTTGTCAAAAGAAAAATGGCCACCAGTCGGCAACCTTGAGTTGAATTTACAAATCAAAGTGGTGTGCAAATACAAATCATAATGGTTAATCTTTCCACCAAGTTTGAAGTAAATCAGCTAATGCATGCCCAAGATCTGATTACAGACATGTCATAATAGTTGCGTTCACGCACAGCTCCTTAGCACGGGCTAAGAGGTCAAATTCCTTAGCCCGTGCTAAGCAAATGTGTGTACGCTAAGCACGAGCTAAGGAATGCTAAGTACGGGTTAAATCTGATCTGAATTTAAGACGCGGTCTAGACCCTTAGCACAGGCTAAGCGTCTTCTGCAGCGACCTTTGGGTGTGAACATTATGCATGTGATCAAATATATCCAACTTTCTCATTCCCAAAATGGTAACCGAGCTCAGTGTACACGCTTCCACACTGATCGGGTCACTGTAGTAGAGCGTACAGCAGCTCCAATCGTAGACAAAATAAATTTGGGTTGTTGTCTACGACATGCATTAATAAAACTCTGTATTCTGTTACGCAGTTGTATACTGTTTCTGTGCACGTCGCTTCAAAATTAGAACGAAACATTTCAGCAGCAGAAATAGAACCTCACGCGTGTCATCCATTTTTCGTTCATAAATAGCGGCTTGCCAAAGGTCACTGACTGATGGCGCCCCTTAGCCCGTGCTGACGACTGGCCCTCCCTGTGCGTGGACGCAATTGGGTCTAGCCGAAATGCAAATATGCTAGATAAGCCTAAATCAGCTTAAATCTTAGCCCGTACTTTGTGTAACGTGAACACAACTAATACCTGATTTTAGTGTTTTTAAACTAAAATTATCAGGAGTCGACCATCTTTGATCAGATGACACTATTAAGGTCTCATGCCACTAATTAACCAATGGCTGCTCGTAGCCCTCAATTTAAATACCTTGCAAGAACCAATGAAATTTTTTAAATATTTTTTTCTCTCAGGTTTGAAGATGTAATCACCTGGGTCAAACGTGAGACCAACATGTGGTCTTTTGTTTACTACTTAGCGGCTGTGTACCTGTGGGTTTATTCTGCGTGTATTTGGATGGTCTAATCTTGGTGTTTTTCCAGTGATTTCTCTAGGTGCAATCTAAATACAGTAGGTGTGTCTTGTTTACCTGAGATTTGTAAGAGTTTGAGCT